CACAGTATTCCTCGAAAAATTGTTGAGAACTTGGCTCCCGGCTCTCTGCAATCTCTATTGTGGGCTCAATACAGAGGCATCACGCTTAAGCTCCTGGGCAATGCCTTCAGGGACTGTATATGACCCAGGGTTAGGTTCATATGTGACTCCCAGGATGTCAAGATGGGAACTCTGGAATGACAGGTTGCAAAGGGTCTCAGAGTTTGAAAAGGGTCTTTGCAGGTCATGTTACTGGTCTATACATTAGGGCCATAGATTGACTCAAATTCCTGGCTCTCCCTTGTCATCCATTTCTTTGATGTTCATTGCATGAAATTTAGGATAAACCAAAACTCTGGGGCTATTCCAAGGAGGACAGAGTTCTTGGAGCCATTCTACTCTGAACATGCTCTCCTTATTCTATTTATCATTCATTCTCCCACACACAACATGTGTTTTTGTAATCTTCACCTGATGATATATTTTTATTGAATTTTTTAGAGCGAGAGGAAGGGAGAGAGAGAGAAAGAGAAACTGAAAGGGCAAGGGCTATGCCCTCCATCTTGCCCCGTACCCTCCATGTTGGGGCAGCCGCCATGTGCTCAGGAAAGTACCTTCTTCCCGGAAACCCAGGCCTCTGCTGGCCACGCCCGGGATTTCTTTAAACTAACCAATGACAATCAAGGGACGTGTGCGCCATAGAGATGACCACATCCTGTGTAACAAGACCCAACTTGCGCCTGGCCAGTCGGCAGGGCCCACAGTCAGCTCCCCTCCCCTCACTCTATTAAAACCCTGTTTTTCCCACAGCGGCCTCACTCTGCTTCCTGTTGCTGCGTCGGCCAGGAGGGGGAGTCGAGCTAGCCCAAATAAAGGACCCTCTGCTTTTGCATCGGACTGGCTGGCTCCCTGGTGTGGTCTTTTGGGGATCTTGAAATCTGGGCATAACAGAAACATCGATGGGTTGCTATTAAATCTGCAACTTAGGTATGTGACCTGACTGGGAATCGAACCCACAACCTTTATGGGATGATGCTCCAACCACCTGAGCCACCCAGCTAGGGCCACACAATGTTCTATTTTTTTCCCCCTCCATCTGCCATCTCTTTCCATTCATACCTAAATCAGAAATACACCTATCCAACTGGTTGTGTCTATAATTTACCTTTCATTCTCCTTCTTAAAATGTTTTCCAGGCCTAATTCTTAAAAACAAAACAAAAATAAACACAAAATCTCACCACTACTACCACCGTCACCACCAAAACAACAAAAGAACATACCACCCATTTAACCAAGCAAGAGGATTGGGAAAGTTTTAACCATACACTTTATGTTAAAACTGTTCTTATAAACAACTCATCCCCCGCCCCTCCGCCCCCCAGTGGCTCTGATGGCTTTGGCTGGGGTTTGAAAGATGGATCTGAGGGAACGGTCACCCCTGCCCCTCAGGTCCCCACCTTGGCCCTGGACTTGGAGTTGTGCAGGTGTTCTTTCTCCTTTCCCTCTGCTTTCCCCTTCTGCCTTTTCCTATTGCCCTCCACCCTCCCTACCTTTTCTCATTACTCCTATTTACTTCCAACCCCGATTTTCTTTCCACAGTTTTCATCCCTCAAAGTTTCCATCCCCAGTTGGGGCCTGAGCTGAACCTCCTACTAAGACCACCTGTGACAAACTGTCCCCAACTCCCATGGTGCCTGATTAGAGCAGTCTCCCTGGCGCCACATGCCTTTGGCAAAGACACCTCTGAGTCTCTGATCAGTGGCTGCTCAGCCAGTGCACAGTTGTCGGAAGTCTCCTTCCCCAGCTTCCCCCAGGTCCTGGCAGACAAATGGTTCAAGGGATAGTGGCTCACACAATGGATAGTGGTTCAAAGGCTCACACACCGTTCCCCCTATCTTAACACCTTCCCTTTTCCAGTCCACAATTGCTGTTACCCACCTCCTGCATCCCCAGAATTATTTTCAAAATCTAAACTCTTTGCTTAGCTGTCCTGTTCTTTAGCCTTTGTTGTTTTATTATTTAGATATAAACATTTTTTCCTAAAACACAGGAACAAGAAAGGTGCCAGTGTGCTTACCCGATGCTTCTAATAAAGCTCCCCCAGTTAATTCAGAGTCATTCTGCACGAAGAAGGCTCGCGTCTGCTTTAGTTTTTCTTTCCCTCTAGGATGCTAATTGTTTTCCTTTTCATTATCTGATAGTTTTGGCCTGAAGTCTAAAATCTGGCCTGCTGGGCTATGTGTCAGATTTGTAAATTAGATGACGTCTGTTTTGAATTTTATCATCTTTAATTTTCTTTCAAGCTCTCTTCATTTATTCATTTCCCCTCCAATTGTAAGGATCAGACTTTGCTGGATGCCTTAGACAAAAGCGCCGACCTTTCTGCTTTTTGGGGGCACAGATTAAAATTACTGAAGTTACATGGTCACAATGAAGGCTATTCAGGGAAAAGATGTTGGGAGAGAAGCCTTAGCAACCATCCCAGAGAGGATGAGCAGTTGCCACAAATGCTGGCTGTCCACACCAGCGTTTTGAAGTTCCCACTGAATAATTATAATCGATTAGAAGGAGATTGACAATGAAGGTTGAACGGGGTGAAGTATTTTGAATTGAAGAGGTGGTAGAGATGGCAATGGTGGTAGTACGTGAGGTGACTAGTGACCTTTTATCTCTTCACATTTAATTACCCTCTTTGCTTTTTTCTCAGAGAAATAATAAAGGGAAGCTTCAATGCATTCTCATACATGAAGACTCATATTTTGATAGTGAGACCTTATGCTTTCCTCCTATTTACATACCTGCTAAATTCTTCTTTTCATGGGGAAATTGTTTATTGCTTATGGTTTTGGACTTACTTATTAAGGATCAATTTTTCTGTTAGAATGCCTAATGTAATACCCTTGTATAACATGTTTTCCCTTTATATAAACCTTTTTCACACATATAATCTCACAGATGTCAGTTGGCCTCTTGCAACTTTGCATTTGTAGAGGCAATAGAGAACGGATGAGCGGCTGGCCAGAACATGTGCCTATGCTCTCACATCGGATCCAGATGTTAGTCATCACTGGGAAGAAGAAATAGCAGGCTGGCTGTGGGCAGAATACAAAATGGCTCCCCCAAGCACCAGCTGTAGAAGCTCTAAACAAAATTTCCGAAACCGCCCCACAGACATTGGCCAGCAGTGACTTTGTGCTTGCACATAAATGACAAATCACCCCTTCATGATGCTGGCCCTGGATTTCTTGGATGCTGCTGTATTTGGGCTGTTGCTAGGCAGATCATAGGTCTGTGAAAATGCCATTTTTAAATGGAATATATAGATAGCAGTGGTTTTCATCTAGGGGTGATTTATTAATGCCTGGAGATGTTTGTGGTTGTCATAACTGAAAGAGAGAGTTGCTATTAGCACCTAGTGGGTAGAGACCAGGGATGCTGGCAAATATTCTATAATTCACAGGACAGCTTCACAACCAAGAATTATCTAGTCCAAATTTTAATAATACCAGAGTTAGAAGCCCTGGCATATAGGCATCTATACAGTGAACCAGGTAACAACAGATTTTCATATGCACAACCAAAACTATGGTGTTGATAGAAAAGAGCCCTTGTTGCCGAAACCGGTTTGGCTCAGTGGATAGAGCATCGGCCTGCAGACTGAAAGGTCCCAGGTTCGATTCCGGTCAAGGGCATGTACCTTGGTTGCAGGCACATCCCCAGTGGGAGATGTGCAGGAGGCAGCTGATCGATGTTTCTCTCTCATCGATGTTTCTAACTATCTCTCTCCCTTCCTCTCTGTAAAAAATCAATAAAATATATATATTTTTTTTTTAAAAAGAAAAGAGCCCTTGCGATTTGTCTTCCTTAGATGAACAGTGGTTGTTCACCTTGATGACCACTTTGGCCAGATTATACTCTCTGTTGTAGAATGGGGGAAGAGACCTTTCTAGATTGGCTTCCCTCTTGCTACCTCTTTTCTTGGTTGTCAGCATCATCTTCCATGTGTATTCAGTCACTCAAACTAGATATCTCTGGGTTTTCATCCACTCTTCTTCCCTTCTCCTCACCATACCTCCTACTAGTGATCAACTCCTCATAATCCTGAGCACTCTCTCATTATAATGATCTGCCCCGACTTCTTAAATTCCCCACCACCGACCACAATTGAAGGAGCCTATTGTTAAGGTTTCAGCACTAGCATCCTGGTCGCGCTCTCTCCCTGGCCAGCCTGCTGTTCTTGCCAAATCCATTCAGTGCTCCACAACATTAGCCACTTCCTCATTCATCTAGTCCTTTGGTGAGAAAATATTTATTGAGTGCCTACTCTATGGTCATTTCTGTGCTAGGAGCTATGACCATTCTCTGGATTAAAATCTTCCCAAGCTTCCATGTTGCTTACAGGACAAACCCCTTGATGCAGCATGTAAGTCCTCTGATAATCTGCCTTTGACCTAACTTTTCGGCTTAGTCTAATGCCCTATGCTGATGACCTTGAACCTGCCACGTTGAATCAACTACTTTTCCTTAGTCCAGCTCACACACTCTTGAGCTCTTTTATCCTTGCATGTGAGGAATGTCCTTCTATTTGCAGTGTCCTTTCTACTCTTATTATTCATCCTGTATAACTTACTCTAGTACCTACACAGCTGCTTGGCACATGGACACTACTCAATAAATATGGAATGAACTTAAATTTCACCTTCTCTGCAAAACACTCTTTAATTGCCTGGCTGTTGGTCAGTATGTGTCTCATGCTCCCTAGTTCATTGTATGCACTTCTGTTAAAACCCTGTCACATACCCTGACTGTGAACCGCTTGAGGGATGGGGTTTGAGAGTACCCTGTATTTAGAAAAAGCCCTGGTAAGTGTCATAATTTATTTAGAAGTTACTCTAGGTTGAGATAGTAGGTTTGGCTTTCTTTGGGAAGTTTATCGCCTGCAAAAGAAAGTGTAGCTGCCTGTGCTCTGCCTCCATGGGTTCTCGACAGATTCCCGAGTCCACAGAAATTCCCGCTCACCTGCCACTTTGGGGTTTGGTGGTTTCCAGTTGTCGGGTAAGGAGCTTGGCAATGGCAGTGAAGCTGTTGCTCATGCGGAAGATGTCTCTGCTCTGAGGGCCCAGGAGGGAGGAGAATGTGTCTGTGATGCTCTTAATCTCCAGCAGGAGAATATGGTGAAAGGAGTGCTCCATGTTGGCCAGCTGACTCACCAGAAATGGCAGGCAGCTCCTGGCTCTCTCCTGCCAAGAACAACAAAGAACATGTACAAATGTTGGTGGGAATGTAAACTAGGACAGCCACTATGGAAACCAGTATGGAGGTTCCTCAAGAAATTAAAAATAGAGCTACCATATGGTCCAACAATCCCACTTCTGGGATTATTCCCAAAAGAAATGAAATCATTATCTTGAAGGGGTAGCGACACTTCCATATTCATTGCAGCATTATTCACAATATCTAAGACACAGAAACAAGTGTCCATTGACAAATGAGTGGTTAAAGAAAATCTAAAGAAAATGCAATAGAATATTATTCAGCCATTAAAAAAGAAGGAAATCCTACCATCTGTATTAACATGAATGAAAATGGAGGACAGTATGCCAACTGAAATAAGACAGACAGAGAAAGACAAATACTGCATGGTGTTAGTTTTAAGTGGAATCTGAAACAAACAAATACTCATACAAATTGAGATGAGAAAAGAGGTTTCCAGGGGCTGAGGGAAGGGGAAAATAGGGAGAATAAAAGGGTACAAATGTTTAGTTATAAGATTATAAAATCTGAGGACCTCATGTATAACAGGGTGACTACAGCTGATAACATTGTACTTTGTAATTGAAGTTTGCTAAAATATGGGAGGTGATGGACATGTTAATTAACTCAATGGAGGAATCCTTTCACAATGTACTGGTATATGTATATCAAGTTATCACATTATACACTTTAAATATCTTATAATTTAACTTAGCAATTATACCTCAACAAATCTTTGGGGAGGAGATGAGGAAGAACAACGAAGAACAAAGGCCTATATTTTAAGAGTCCTGTGACCTGCAGATGGTAGTTCTATGGGTGTTCACTTAGAGAACTAGCTGCAGCTAAACAGCGTTTCATTCAGAGTGCCTCTGTATTTGCTTCTTTGAAGTTTTAATTTTTTTCCTGATTTTCAGGAAAACTTTTTAAAATAAATCTTTTGTTCTGTTACTCCTTTCTTATAAATAGGTAAATTGTCTCATTGGTCTATCTCACCCAGTCAAAATCTCTCAACTTCCATTAATAATCTGACCCCACATACCTCCCTTTCCAAGTTTGTGGCTTTCTCTGGCCGGTCTCCAAGCCTGTGCCTCACTAATTCTACCTGCCCAGGAGAGGCCTGGTCAATCCTGGATCCATCCATCTGCCTTGTATCATCAAACTGGTGTCCAAAGTTTACCTCCTCTCCACACGACACGCTCACTCATTGTTTACTTTGGGCATCTTTCAATATGTTCCATAGAGTATGTGCCTGGTCAAACAAGTAGATTGTATTACTTAGTTTTAATCAAATTGGCTCTCACAAATAACTTAAAAAAACTGAAGCAAGCATATAGGCCTAACCAATGGACATGGACAACAGGGGGGTGAGGGCATGAGTGGGAGGGATAGGGGGTAACGTGGGGATAAGGACACATATGTAATAACTTAATCAATAAAAAAATTTAAAAAAAATCCCTAAAAAAAAAAGAAAGAAAAGAAAAGAAACTGAAGACAAAAAATGCAGGCATGAGTGAATAACAAGAAAATGGCATGTTTCCTATACCTATCAAAACTCCTCAACAGCCATAGTAGGAGGTGCCATAATTTAACCCAACATGACTAGAACTTTCCCAATTTTTTTTTAATTATCAAGAAAGTTATTTGAAATGTAAATGTGCACCCAACACAAATAATGCTATACCATTAAAAAATAAAAATAATTTTAAATATGGCTTATTTCAATTTTAATTCCTCTTTTAAAATCTTATTTTTATGTATTCAATATTTTTGTAATGTTAGCATAATAGAAAATATGTATAAATATAAATAAGTATATGTATTGGAAGTTAATGCTCAAAATCCCAAGTGGTAAATGTACAGGTTGAAGTTATTCTTTTCAGCAGGAACTCCCTTTTACTCCTTGTTCTAGTATTTGATGCCTTAATTTCTTTCAACATGTAAATCTTGTCTCTTCCATGAAGCTCTCCACTGTGCCCATTTCTCTCTGAATTTTCACTGTATTATAGATTATTTTTTAAAATCTTGTTTAGCACTTGATCATTTCTTTATTCTTGCTTTTATTTAGTTACCAAATAGGTATTACATGCCCATATATGCTTGTGCTAGATTCTAGATGACAAAGATGAATTGGTCTCTGCCTTTAAGAGATCCACAATCCCCCTTTCATTTATAATTCTCCAGTGGTTACATGTACCAGCCAAGTCTCCTAAAGGGGCTACTTCTCATATATCAATCATCTGCCTGGCACAGAACTGAGTGTGTATGTCTCGGTTCATTATTTGAAGCAATCTCCCAAGCCAAAATATGACCTGACAAATAAAGCATGTAGTTGCAAAGGAATCTGTGCTTTACAAGAAATATTTATTACAGAACAGATTTAAGTAGCGAAGTTCTCTACTCTTTAATACTTAACTTGATTTTCAAAGATTCCATGTACAATTGCACTGGGACACATCTCTTGGGGAAGTAGAATACACAGCTTGACAGCTAATTGAAGAGATATATGTATTCATTAAAGGATTAAAATGTTAGATAAATAAAAAATAAGAATTGGAATAAGTTCCTGACAGCCCATTTTCTATTTTTGGCTCATACAATTGCCAGGTTGCAGAAGGACACTTAGATGTTCTCAGATGCTCTTGAGTCTAATATATATATTGCAACCTAGAGTCTTTCATGCATGCAAGGGCTCCGAATGAGAATTCATAGTATGCAGTGTATCTCAGGGACATTTTCCATTCCCCATTTAAAGGCAAAAGCTGGATGGGTCCCTACCATGTGCTAGATCCTGCTGTAGAAGTTAGGAACACAGAACTGAAGAAAATACCTGCCATGACAATGAGGCAACAGATAACAAACAAAATGCACATGTAAAATATATAGTGTGTGGGATAGAGAAGTGTGCCTCAGAAAAAGATGGGGCAGGGAGGATGTCAATGTTAAATAGTGTCATCAGGTCAGATCTCACAGAGAAGGAGACACTTGAATTCAACAAGCTTTTAGAATCTAAACCCAACATTCTCAGTAACCATAGAGAATAATTACAGTAAAAGTCACCCTGGTCGATACAGGGAGGTCAGGAGATGAAGAACTGGGACATGGGAGATGTGCCATTTTCCTACTGAGCATGTAATTTCAAATTTCAAGTAACTTCCTCAGCTTCTGATTTAGATTTCTCTTTAGCAATTTTTTTTTTACACTGTGTCACAAACATTTCATGTGCTCATCTAAGTGTCCCTATAACTTCACTAAGAATTCTCACCTTGGCCTGGTGACTCAATAGGTTGGAGCATTGTCCTGTACACCAAAAGGTTGTGGGTTCGTTTCCAGGTCAGGGCACATACCTAGGTTTGGGATTTGATCCCCCACTCTGGGTGTGTACAGGAGGCAACCTATCATTCTCTCTTTCTCTCTCTCTCCATTCCTTTCTCTAAACATATCCTTGGGTGAGGATTAAAAAACTAATAATTCTTTTCATTATAAAAATTAGCAAGCCCTTTCTTTAGAGCATTTGTCTTCCTAAAGGTGAAGATGGTTGTGTGAGTATTTGCTGAAAACAACATAATTCTGAATGATCTTCTGGCAGGCAAATTGAGCTGAAGGGAAAATTAATCACAGTGCAGGAACAAGAAAAATCATGGCTCTGGAACTAGCATACGAAACCAAGCCAATTTCATATGGTTTGTTCTAAAACCTTGGAACATGTCCAGGTACCTCTCAGGAGTAACAGATATAATTTGGGATTAGAAAGTGTGATGTTAGGGTAAGAAGGGGGTTAGGAGATTCTGATTTCTTTCTTGGCTCCATGATATTTTGTCTCAGGAACCAGTGATTGCATTTTTTTCTGCTTTCAGTCACCTCACTGTGGGGACAGGGTCAACAGTACCTATTTCAGAGAGGAAGGGAGGGGGAGAGACAGATAGAAACATCAATGATTAGAGAGAATCATTGATTAGCTGCCTCCTGCATGCCCGCTACTGGAGATCAAGTCCACAACCCGGGCATGTGCCCATGACTGGAATCGAACCCAGGACCCTTCATTCCCAAGTCGATGGTCTATCCACTAAGCCAAACCACCTAGGGAAGTACACCTTAATTGCAGACCTAGCCTCATCTCTTCTGACATAAATTGATTATTTATTATTAAAATAATAATAGCTAGTCTACAGAGAGCACTTAATCTAAGTGACAAGCCTATTATATGTTTTAAAAATGCAAAGGACCTAAATAGACCCCTTTCGAAAGAGGACATATAGGAGGCCAAGAGATATATGAAAACATGCTCAAAGTCACTAATCATCTGAGAGATGCAAATCAAAATGACAGCAAGGTACCATCTCACCCCTGTCAGAATGGCTATCATCAACAAATCAACAAACAACAAGTGCTGGAGAGGATGCGGAGAAAAAGGAACCCTCATGCACTGCTGGTAGGAATGCAGACTGGTGCAGCCACTGTGGGAAAAAGATTGGAGTTTCCTCAAAAAATTGAAAATGGAACTCCCATTTGACCCAGTAATTCCACTTCTTGGAATATATCCCAAGAAACCAGAAATACCAATCAGAAAGGATATATGCACCCCTGTGTTCATAGCAGCACAATTTAGAATACCTAAGATATGGAAACAGCCTCAGTGCCCATCAGCAGATGAGAGGGTTAGAAAACTGTGGTACATCTACACAATGGAATACTATGCTACTGTAAAAAAAGAAGGAACTCTTACCATTTGCAACAGCATGGATGGACCTGGAGAGCATTATGCTAAATGAAATAAGCCAGCTGGAGAAAGATAAATATCACATGATCTTACTCATTTGTGGAATACAATGAAGAACATAAACTGATGAACTAAAATAGGTCCAGAGACATAGAAGCATCAAACAGACCATCCAATCTCAGAGGGAAGGCAGAGAGTGGGGTGGGGGGGAATGAGAGATCAACCAAAGTACTTGTATGCATGATATAAGCATAACCCATGGACACA